ATATACTATTCTTTTCAATTGAATCAAGCCCTTCTCTTCACTTTTTCTCTTATATATTATCTCGAACGCTTTTGATGGCATCTATTTTTACTATAGATGGAAAAATAATGTTTTTGCATGCTGATTCATACTCTCTTTTATATAATTTTGGTCATTCTACAATGAATAAACTTATCCTTATATTTTCCTATAAAAGAAAATAAATATACAAACGTATATTGCACTTGGTAAAAAAAAGATTGTTTAAAAATAAGTATGCATTAGTATTCCAATTAAATATCTTTATGTCATTGTAGTAAAATTAGATATCATCACAAAGAGTTCAAGACAAGAAAAAAGGTCAAAGTAGGAGTAAAACATTGAAAATATATGAAAATAAAAGTTTCATGTTTTTATATCAAAAATTAGGAGTTAAAATGCATTTACATTAACAATTATGACCATGTACATTACCAAATAAAAAACATAATAAAATGTTATATACAGTGCCACATTACTAGATTGTGAACTTCTATTTAGAGAATAAAAGCGTGGAACTCCTATTTTAGTACTTTCTCTATGTTAAGTCATATTTAGAGTGATTCCTTTTAAGACAAAATGTGAAAGACTTGATTGATTAAAAAAGAACAATACATGGACTAAAATATTTCAATTATAGGTATATGAACTAATTTAAGCATTTTTAGATAGTTCAAAGATTTCTATGGTATTTTATCCACCTTCATTTTTACACTTTTAAATTGGTTGTTAGATCCTCTCAAGGCGTAATTATTTTGGGTGATAATGAGGTGAGAAGAATCAATTCTTCGAAAGTAATACCTTAAGAACATCAATTCAGAAAGTAATTCATCAACTTGTTTTTTACTTATTAGTTATTTTTATTGCAATCAGATTAGAACAGATCAGAAACAGCTTTAAATATAACTACATTCAGATGAGATCGGAATTATTTCAATCAGATTAGAACCATTCAGATGAAGTGAAGAGAACGTGGCCTAATTCCCACTAAAGGGTCCGTTTAGTTGTGGGAAAAATATTTTTCTTGAAATATAATTTTGGCCGTTGGGCGTTAGACAGTTGGTAAAGACAAGAAATATAAGGGGAGTAAGATTCAAGTTCGATTCTTGGCAGTTGCACTAGGAGACAATTATGCTAAGCATATGACCTCTGCAAGTGTCAGGTGCAAGCTCCACCCTTAACCATTAATCTGCGATCAAAATTGAATTTACCTTCTGTTAGTCGTCGTCCGACCGGATCTGAGTGGTTCCATTGGAGATGAGACTCATCCTTTTTTGAAAATCAGTTTTCAGGAGAAAATGTTTTTTTATCCCTAATAGCCCTATTAAATTTATAGTTTACACATTCTCATCTTATTGAAACACTGAGAGCTATCACCTCCACTGAGGATTGAACTTGTGACCCCTTATAAGAAAGATTACTTTCTTATCACCTCTTCCATTGTTCGATAAGAAGAAAATCTTTTGCCCAAAAAAAATTGTTCATGATATCAAAAAAAAGGTTTTGAGATCTTTTTAAAATATTTAAGTGGCATGTGGGGCGAACCGCGCAAGGGGACAGGGGACGGTGGGGCTAGGGATGGGAGCTCAGATGTTGGTGGACTAGGCAGAGTCAACACTGGGTCGGGCGGAGGGGGAGGTGCCTCGCAACACCGCAACGACAATAAAAGAAGAATCATGTTTTATTTGAGGCTCTTTGACAAACTTCACTTTTTATCAGTTACTCTGAGATTATAAGTCAATTTATTTCATTCCCGTTGGTCTTATGTAAAATAGCTGAACCTCATCCCCTAGAGTCTTTTCAGTACGCTTTCGGATAATAGATTATTGTAATATGGCAAATTGACTTATAATATTTTTAAAAATTGGTATATAAACGAAAAGTACAAATTATATATTTCAAAGTTGTTAGAACATAAAAAAAACCTTTCTTGGGCCACAACCACAAGCTTGAGCTTTTGGTTGAATCGGTTCCTTAATATGGTATCAGAAGCTTGTTGACTAAGAGGTCACGGGTTCAAAACTCAGCGTCACCCAGTTTTAAAAAATTAAGGTTTCACGTAAGGTTCGAAAAAAGATTACGCTTGCACGTAAGGAGGCGTGTTAGAATATAAGAAACATTTCTTGGGCCACAACCACAAACTTGAGCATTTGGTTGAATTGGTTCCTTAACAAAAATTGATTCAAATGTTAAATTTAAAAAATGTGAAGTAATCAAAAAGTTAAAATAATGGGGAGTAACTGAGATGATTATCTTGTGAGGGAGGGAGGATAATACTTAAAGTGAAAAGTATGTGGAGGTATCATGAGGGAACCATTTGGGAACAGTACAGTCTCTTTCTATTTGCAAATTGAAGTAGTGAGACAAAACCTAACAGCATACAACACCTGATGGATGGATGGATGGATGGCAGCCTGTGAAAACTCAGGGCTTTTCAATTAACCAAACAAACCCTCTTCTTCTAGTAGTAGTGAGTGGTCCAACTTTATTTCCAAACCACATATACACCAAAACTTTCACATTGAATTTTTTTTGATGGGGGAAAGGGTTTCGGGTGGGTTTTTGTCTCCACTTTACACAAGATGGTTGTTTTGGTCCATATAAGAAAAAAAGAATCCTTTGTGGCATTTCTAGAAGAAACAAGAAAAAATTAGAAAAATTGAAAGAAATTGAAAGAAATTGTAAGAAAATTAGGAAAAACTAGAAAAAACTGAAAAAAATTAAAATGAACTTCAGAAAAAGTATTTAAATACTCCCTCCGTCCCAAAATATAAGCAACACTCCACTATTTAAAAATCCCGGGAACTTTTATTTAATTTTGCATTTTCATTGATTATTTGATAGAATAAAATATTCATGTCATCACTTGTTTTGTAGAACTTTTGACGTAGTTTTTAAATATGTAAGTTTTATTTTTCATTTGTAGACCATTCTTTAAATAAAATGGATTGAAAAAATTCAAAAAATTACTTCGTTTAGCGTAATGTTGCTTATATTTTGGGACAGAGAGAGTATATTTTACATATCACTCTTATTATTGTTGTTGTTGTTGTTAACATTACTACTAGAACTACTACTACTACTACTACTACTACTATTATTATTATTATTATTATTATAACTATCATATATAATAGGTAAAGAAGGTGAATAAAATTCGACCACATGAATAATGTATGTGTCATTTAATTAGAGACAGAGGGAGTAGTATAATTATTATTTTTAAATTTTAAATTTTGATGTTTTTCCAAAGTCTATTTAGATTAATAAAATGTTCCTAATTTATTAGAACATTGTTTAGTGTAAAACAACACTAAAATGTAATTCTCTAGAACTTGGATAACGCTACGCCGGGGCTGGATTGAATCTGATAATTCTCTAGACCCTAGATCCGATCGAATAATGTTAGTTGCAAAATTTCGGGCTTTCCACTTGGAAGGTATCCCAACTTTGACTATTATAACATAAAGGTATCTCATCTTTAAGTGGAGTATAACAAAAGGATACCACAATTTTAAAAAATGTAACAAACAAATACCCCTTGCCGACATTTTGAGAATCCAACCGGTGAGTGCACATGTGACGTTCCACTTGGCTTCTTAGTGTACATGTGTCATTCCATATGACTTCCAAGTTAACTTTTAATTAATCCAATACTTGATTAAAGCTCTTTTGTTTTGGGTTAGAACTTAAGAGTTGAATGTTAGAAGAAACTGAAAATAGTTTAAAAAATTGGATAGAGCTGGAATAGTTACAGTGTTAAAAAGTCACTCAATTAAATGATTACCAAAATAAATATGTAAGAAAACTCATAATTTTGGATAAAAAAGAATTCATCATTCTCTGTGTTTGAGGTGATATATTATAAATTTGGATATATAATGTTATTATATGTTCATCATATATAAATACTTTTTTTAAGACGTTAGAACAATTAGAAATAGTAGAAGAAACTGGAAGAAGTTGAAAAGAATTGGAAGTTATTTTTTTCCAATTCAAAATAAGAGAGCGTAACTTTGTACCTGACACATATAAACTAATTTTTTTAAAAAAAAAAACTTTTAAACATTTATTTTATTTATCTAATTTAAATTTTGTTCATCTAATGAAAATTTATTTTACGAAGTATATTTTAATTTTATTTTAACCTCATGCTTTCTATAAGATTTTTTATTTTACTTTTAGCATTTTGAAAAATTTATAATTTACAATATACTTGTATTTTAAAAATTAGTAGCAATAACATTTTAATCTATAATGTAATTTCAAAGATCTATTTGGAATTTTTGAAATTTTAAATTTTAAAAACATTCATATAATTACTAATATTATTAATACTTCTACGACTATCATCATTATCATTATCAAGTACTATTGATACGTGTAATGAGTTTTTATAAGTCATTTTAATAGTTTTTTTAAAAAAAAAATCATGCAACATCGTGTTTATTTATTTATTTAAATTCTAACTCCAAATTACAGCAAGTATTTTAATATTTAAATAAATGAGAAACCATGCCCTTTAAAATCACAATATAGACAATTATTTAAAAAGTGATTGCTAGTTTGGTTTAAAATATTTTGTAAATTAGAAAAATATCAAAATACTAAAACTTAAAAATAGAATTTGAAATCTACCATTATAAAATGAAAAAACTGATATTGTATAAATAAAATATAATTTTAAAAAATTTAAAACTTGACTAAATTTTCATATGAAATTTAAATTACAAGTAATTTTCATATAAAAAATTTAAACACGTATAGGATAAGTTACATGTTAATATAAAATTCATATGAAATGTAATATGTACACTAGGAAGTCCAGTGAAAGGCCACAAATGTACTCATCAGCTAAATTTTCAAAATTCAGGCAAAGGGTACCCCTTTGTTACATTTTTTTAAAGAGTAGATATATATTTTATACAAATTGAAGATGTAATACGGAGTACTTTTTTACAGAACTCAAAGTTGGGGTACCTCCCAAGTAAAAAAGCCCAAATTTTAGTTTGTACCTTAATCATTCTCTTTGTAGCTATTTCATAGTGTGTATTCTCTGCAATTGTACCTGCACTAAAATCATCAATATATAGCTCAAAACTGTCATGGATATTGTGGCTCTATGTTTTCAAAATGTAGAAGACAGAAAAGCGTGAAGTCAATTTCACATAGCAAATTGTGGAGCCAAAGAGCTTTGCCGTGGCATGCGCTAGAGGACAATGTTAGAACCAAGATAGACAACGGTAAGCAGTGGTGGAGCGACCACCGTCATAAATCCATCCCCCCCCCCCCAAAATCCCCCCGGCAAAGGAAACAGTGAGAGCGAGAGAAGGGGGGTTATCATTCTTGAGAAAACAAGCCATGATTAACCATACCACTCAAACTGGTCAAGCCCTTAACCCATTTGTACACTTCTGCAGCATCAGACTGCACCTCATGATCTCTCACTGCTCTCTCCCATGCCCATTGGATTCCTATTCTGATGGTTTTGACTTCAATTTCCTCAATATTAGTCGGCATAGTTCTGCACGCGAACCCACCCAACCATTCTACACTGTTGCTGCAAATGACTCCGCCGCCCCAGACCTGTTTGCTATTATTTTTTGTGCTCCCATCGACATTCAAAGTAAACTCTTGGTCAATGGCTGGTTTCCACTTTAGTACCCAATCTCTAGCAGCCTGATCTGCCTTGCTTTTGGGCATGTTCTGAATATGTGAGCAATGGTCTCCTCGTTATCGCTATAGAAATGGCAAGAGCTATCTCAAGTAAGGCCTCTTTTCCTTAGTTCAGCTTTTCCATTTCCTTTTCATGGCAAATAGTCCACAATATGATCTTCATCTCGCTTGGCACTTTAACCTTCGAAATCAAAGGCCACATTTCCTCGTACATGTTGTTGGTAAATCCCCTAATTAGATTATAAGTCTACTTAATGGAAAACATACTTATCGGGTCATGCTTCCAGTAGTATTCGTCTTAGATGTCTGTCTCCGACTCCATCACCTGTAGTTGCATCAAAGAAACAATGTCAGGTGGGAGGTTCGGGATTTTCTCCCATTGCCACCCACTGGAGCCATTCCAAAGCTCAACAACTCTCGACAACAGTAATTCCTCTCCAGGAATTTGAAGCTCCTTTCTTGCTCACAAATATATTATGTAGTTTGTCATCACTATGTATCATAATAAATGACTAAGTTATCAGTCTTTAAAACATAGTAACAATTTAGTGACAACTGACATTATACTTAGTTATCATAAAAAAATCATCTTAATTACAAAAGTTCCTTTGTGACTAACATAGTACTTGTAATAACAACACAAGTTATCATAAAAAATTAAATAGTGACACAATTTTACCATCACAGAAATACTATTTTAATAATGAAAGTCAAATTGTCATTGAAATAGTTATGTGGTGACTCATGACTGGTGACACTCGTGCAGGTTTGTCATAAAAGAAGCCATTAAAGAGCAAGATCAAGCTAAGATAATCCTTGAGTTTGTGAGTGAATATAGTTCATGCTCATAACTAATATTCATAGGCTATATATTTTTCTGGTAATATTTAGTTATTTGCCACTGTAGATAAGTAATAACTACGGTGAGTAAAACCCATCATATACTTTTATAAATCTATCAATCTAGTAACAACTCACATTATTGTTACCTTTGAACCTCTAGCAATTTATGTGCAATGGAAAAGTTACCAGTTTTCCCCTACAATGAACAAACCTCACTGATCAATCAGAAACTGGCATCCAATCTTGAATCATTTCTGAACCAAAATCCATTATCTGCTATAAAAAATATAAAGCACATGAAGTTTGATCCCTCAGATAATATTAACACTGTGTTTGGTTCAAGGAATTGAATGGTAAAAGAAAATAAAATTAGAGGGAAAACAACATTTCATGTTTGGTTAGAGAGGAAAAGAAAGAAAAGTGGAACGAAAAGAAAATGAGAAGGTAAATTGTACTCAGAGGAGGGAAAACCAAATTCCTCCCACTTTGGTACTTTGGTGAGGAAAATAAGAGAAAATTGTTTTCTTTTCTTTTCCTTCCAAATTCCTTGAACCAAATATAGTATAAATGTCTCCACAAGAGAAATGAATCATTGAGTGAAGCATAGGTTAGACACTGAAGTCCTTTTGGTTAGTCAAGGTTGCAATGGCCCAAATGATATACAAACATAAAATAAAGCAAAACATTATAAGGTATATACACTACATGCTACACATTGCATAGGACCAACAGAGTGTGAAACATAGAAAATAAAATTACTACATGAGGAAGAAAGTGAACTTCTCAAATGGATGAACATATAAAAAACTTCAGTCATATAAAAAATACAGCATCAAGATAAAGGAGGCATCAAGAATGGAAATCGCCATACGAAAGACCTTTAATTGTCCAATTAGAAGGCTGGTCTCGGAGAGAAATCCATACCCTTCTGCAAATTAAGGAGTATAATGTGATACAGCAAGTGTGGAAGGATGGTGAATCATCCAAAATGGAAGCCAAAACTAAAAGGAAAATATATATATATATATATATATATATATATATATATATATATATATATATATATATATATATATATATATATATATTTT